GGGTGCCACGAGTCCCCATATTAAAAACCAAGACACACTGATGCTAACTCAGTTTTATTTTTGTTTTCTCACTTATCAAGACCCCAGCAGCAAGCCAGACTGGCACAAAACACTCAAAATCTACACAGAGCCACAGTTCTTTGTGAACACAGTGCAAAATCTTCTGTATGACCCAGTTTGGAAGAGATCCAGAGCAAGAGCATGGCTTAAAATCACATCACCTAAAGGAAGGCCAGAAACAGGCAGCCCATCACTTTCCTGTGTTTTCTGTCCAACTATATTTTTCTCCTTTATTATGTTAGTCAGGTGCTAAACAAATAAAATCAATTCTGAACTTATAAAAAGCAATTGGAAATGTCTAGTCTTTTATAGTGAAATCTCAACTTAAGCAGCCCACAGCACTAGGAGAAAAATCAATCATCATTTCCATCCTGCTACGTGTGCTACTAAAATTAAGAATTGATGTTCGGCTGCAAAGGAAAATGATTTCAAGAGAACCACCTTAGCAACAGTGTTCAGTGTTCATAAACCTCCTGTTTACAGTTCTTCTCATGGCAGACAAACTCCTACATCCCACCATGAAATATAAATAATAATGAGGGATCCTGATTTACATACAGTTTCCATCTTAATGGGCATCAAAATTGCAAGCAGGGCAACAGCACCACTTATGGTAAATAGCAAGCAGTAAACATGTCCTCAGCCTAAAGAGGCCATAAACCAGTGTTAACACCCCTGTAATTGCAGCCTCGCCCATATCCAAACCAAAGTTCAGATGATTTTGCCAGTAGCCTTTCCACAAAGACAGAAACTTTGGAATGGGAGCTGCATTTAACTCTGATGCAGCCTAAAGATTTTAGCAACGTGCTCTTCCCATTTGGAAGCAGCACTCCCTGCATCTTCTTTGATTTACTGCAGCCCAGCCTATGTAACTTGTATGATATTATGTGCAAACCACATAAATATCTCCCAAAATATACCACAAAGCCATCCCTGCCTCCAAATAATCTCCAGCCCACCAGGTCTATTTATGAATGAGCACACAGGAGATTTCCATGCCACGGGAGCTGCTGTTTCTCCAACACCATGGGGCTGTGTGACATGCTGAGCACAGTGCTGTCCCCTCCAGCCCCCCTGGCTTCCCACAGAAGGGGCTGGAGGGGACAGTTACATACAAGTTACAGAAGGGGCTTTCCTCAGCCCCTCTGTTGTGGGGTTTGTGGTGCCACCTCACTCGGGGGGTTTGTAATCAGCCTGTGGCTCTCAGGAAGTGCTTGGGAGGAGACAGCCCAGTCTGGCCCCAAATCCACCCACAGGGTGCTTGGCTGCCTAAAGAAAGGGTAAGGAGGGTGATGGGTGATGACCACTGGACCAAACCCAGCTTTTTGAAGTTTTTCCCAACCATTTTTGATCTAGCTGGCTCTGCCAGCCGTTGGTTCCTTACCCATCAATCCCTGGGTTCAGTCCCACTTACACCACCCTTTGTTCACCCCCTCTTTTGGTGTTTGATGAGTGCAATTAGCACCTGGGATGTTGCCTCCGGAGCCCAATTCCTCCTTGGAGAGCATTCCCACCTTCCTGGCTCTTCCTGAAGCCAGCATGGGGACACTGCACAGTTCTGGCTCTGTCCAGTCCTGCTTTTCTCACATCTGCTTCAAAAACATTGCAGTTAACTTTGAGAATTGAGTTACTGACTTTGATAGGGAAATTACTGATCCAGTATACAGCAAACAGCAGTGCTCTAGAACACTGTTAAATCTGAGTCTGGAAAATGAACTTTAATAAAAAGCATCCCAGTAATGTATTGTGACAGCTTTTAGTGAAATCAGCTCCAGTAGTTTGGTTCTCCCAGGAATACAGCAAGATATTCCCACAGCCTTGAGCCATGGCATCAGCAAGAAGATACTTTTATGATAAATGGCCCCAGAAACCCAAATTACAGCTGCAGCAAATGAACAGTGTGTTGAAAATTACTCGGTGGATTTTTGTCTGGGCTATCGTGCTGGTATCTGGGCATGCACTGACACCTAGTGGGATGGCCCCAGGTTGGGAGCAGAGGGGTAAACTGGGTTATTTTCCTAAAGAATATCAACAGCCAGCGCCTCCTGATACCTTGGCTTTTAAGTTTTTCTGTTTTGGTGTGCAGCCTTTAGCTTTGTATTAAGTGTTACAGGGATCTTTTCACAGGGTGGTGAAGACAAAACAATCTTATAGGAATGGGATGGGAATAAACTGATACCTTTGGTTTGAAGTTTTTCTGTTCTGTTTGGTGTGCAGCTTTTAGCTTGATATTAATGTTACTGGGATCTTTTCACAAAACAATCCTATTCCAGCTGGAGACTCAAGGACAATCTCTTCAAACTTCAGGCCCAAAGCATCAACAACATGAGGAGGGTGGGCAAGCAAGCAAGGAGGATGAAACCTCATCATTTGAAGCTAATAATTGGGCAATGAACTTCTGTATGCAAATGGACTAAAACTTAGCAAAATGTGAGATCTCGTGGCCAAGCTCTCTTTTGTTTCCATCTTGGAGCCATCCAGGCACTGCCAGGGTGTGGCCTTTGAAGGCACCTCAATAAATCTCCACTTTATTGCTCTGAACTCCATCCAGCCTCTGTTCCAGCTCCTCAGGGCATCACTCTTGATGCTGAACCTCTGTATCCATGGTGGGGTGGTTGGAACTGAGTGATCTCTGGGGTCTTTCCCAATGCAAATCATTCCATGAGTCTGTAGCTGCTGTGAGATATTGGTGTTGGGTTATTTGTGCCCCTTCCTCTCCTGCAAGAAAAGTGATTTAGTTTTGATTTCAAAATGTTGCACCTCTGCCACCTGAAGGGTTAATTCATCACTTCTCTTGTTTCTGCTCTCCCTGCCTGGGTCACTCCCTCATTTATGGGCATAGGTGGGAAGAACAGCAGGGATTTGGTGTGGATCAATGCAAGACTAGAGATGGAGGTGGAGGGAGAGCTCAGCCAATGGCTCTGATGTTGAAATTCTCTGTGCTGGTTAAACTGCAGGGTACCAAAATTAGGGACCATCCTGTGGTGAGCCACAGTTCACCATGAAATCCCAGAACAGGGTGGGTTGGGACATTAAAGCCCATCCATCCCATCCCTGCCATGGCAGGGACACCTTCCACTGTCCCAGGCTGCCCCAAGCCCTGTCCAGCCCGGCCTTTGGCACTGCCAGGGATGAGACATCTGGTACCCATGGCTTCTCTGGGAGGTTAAGGACAGCCCCAGGGGACTCAGTGCCCTCCCAGGGAGCCAGGCTGCTTCAGCCCCTGTGTCTTGGATCCACCTGAGACCTGTCTGAGTCAGGGGACAGCACATTGGAAGCCCAGTTCCAGTGCAGGAGGGTGGCAGCACTGCAGGACTCTGTGCAGGGATTCAGGCACTGGTTTGATGCCTTGAGGAGCTGGAACAGAGGCTGGATGGAGGTCAGAGGAATAAAGTGGAGATTTATTGAGGTGCCTTCAAAGGCCACACCCTGGCAGTGCCTGGATGGCTCCAAGATGGCAGCAAAAGAGGGCTTGGCCATGAGATCTCACTGTTAGTCTGTGTTGGCAACACCATGTAGCAACACCAGTAGTAGCACCCCAGTTACCAAATCAAATGTTATTTGTACCTCAACCACCCATCCCTCAATTAGTTCCATTTCACTACCCCCAAGAGCAAAACTTAAATTAACAACCTCAAAATTAATATGCCTTTTAAAAACCTTTTATTATAAAAGTATCCCTACAAAAATTACCAACATTTCTCAACAAGACAAGACCACTAAGATACATTACTTAAACTTTATTAGCAACACCAGCCTCACTACATGGTTGAGACAATAGGAAAATGGCAAAGCTCACATACAGCCAGCAGCAGCCAAAGATTTCTTTGTAACAGAGCATTTAAAAAACTTTCTAGCCAATAGCACATTGCTAAAGCTTACAGACAATTGTTCTAGCCAATCACGCCATCTAGCAAGATGGAGGGACCTGGGCATGTCCAGCCTTTCTCCTTCTTCTTCTTCCTCTTGGCCTCCATCTTCTGCTGTGATGGTGGCACTTACAGATTAGTTTAGAGTAGAAGCTCACTGTCTAACATAGATGATAGGCATTGGGAAGTTATGGTAAACATTGTATATGTCGTTTTTACTATAAAGACATAACACTGCCCCAGGGGCAGGCAGAGGGCCTGGACTGTCTTGCTGAAAGGATCTCAGCTAGACAGGAGAAAGTATTTTATTGACAAAGAACAATAAACAACCTTGAGACCGAGAACTGAAGAGTTCGGACTCCTTCGAGCAGCAGGCTGAGAAAAGAGACTTTCTGACACAACTCGGGGTCACTGTGAGCAGCGAGAGGCCCCGAGACACCGGCTGCCTCACCCACATCCTCACACACGTCCCGGCCAGTTCCAGCCCAGCTCCCGGCAGGAACCGCACAGCAGCGGTGCCAGGCACCACTGGGACCAGCCCCTTCCCGGTGCCACCACCTCATTTCTATGGCAGCATCACAGCGCTCTTTATTTTGGAGCTTGACAGCAGCACCTAAAGCGCTGCCCTGCCCTGCCCGCTCAGCTCCCTCCTGCCATCACAACAGCGAGTTCCAGCCTCCGGAGAGGTACCACAGCAACCTCCCGTTTCTCTGCGAGCAGTGCCGGTGATAATTCCCGCAGTGAGGGCCCCTCAGCCCGGCCGAGGCGGCAGCGACACCCCAAAATCCACCAGCGCATCCCCCCTCCGTTCGCCAGCTCCGTCCCGTCCCGCACCGCCCCGGACGCGGCCCCGCCGTGCGGAACGCTTCCGCCGGCGCGTGCGTCGAGCGCTCGCCGCTCCCATTGGCTGGAGGGGGCGGCAGGGCGGGGGAGAGAGAAGCTGAGACCTCTTCCATTGGCTGGAGGGGGAGAGTGGGCGGGGCCACGGCTGAGGCGGCTGTGAGGGCGCTCGGGAGGGAGCGGGAGGCGAGTCCCGGTGCGGGACGCTGTCCCCGGTGCGGGGCTCGGTGAGGGGCGCGGCCATGCGGGCTCCCGGCACGGCCATGCGGCGTTTCCTCGGCCCGCTGCTATGCCTCCTGGCGCTGCGGCTCCCGGCGAGTAGCGGCGCGGCCGGCCGCGGGCTGGACGTGGCTTCCTACCGGTGAGTACGGAGCGGGCGGTGCGGGGCCCAGGCGGGCCGGGGCTGAGCGCGCCTGCTTGTGCCGCAGGGAGCGGGTGCGGGCCATGTTCTACCACGCCTACGAGCACTACCTGGAGAGCGCCTTCCCTTACGACGAGCTGCGACCGCTGACATGTGACGGCCAGGACACCTGGGGCAGGTAAGGGCCGCTCCCGGGGCGCGGTGAGGATGGGCCACCCCCCCTCTCTCTGCCGGGTCTCACCTCGCTTCTCTCCTCCGCAGCTTCTCCCTGACTCTGATCGACGCTCTGGACACGCTGCTGGTGAGTAGGAGGCAGCCCTGAGTGCCCGCAGCCTACTCAAGGTCTCTGTGTGCCACCTGTACACCTGGATTTTATGTGGTTGGTGCCAAAAGTCAGTTATTCATTGACCTGTGAGCTTTCCATTTCCCTTTTGCATCACCCCTTAGGGAGAGTGGCAGAGCACCCCTTTCCTTACAGCCTCTGTGTAAAGTTCCAAAATGCGTGAAAAAAGATTTTTGAAAGATGGAACTGTCAGTTTTTTAGTAACGTGAAAAACGCCAATTGGTTGTTTTTAAAATGTTAAAAGTTTCATAGTAATAAAATGGTTATAAAAATAGTAATATAATTACAGTAATAATAATTTGGACAATTAGGACAATATGAGACAATAGAGACAAAGAGTTACGGAGCACGAGTCCGAAAAAGGACCCACGTTAACAGAGGATTAACCCTTAAAAGCAACATCCTGTTGCATATTCATACACCTCATACATGATGCATAAATTCCATTCAAACACAGGATTCTGTCTGGGCAGTGTCAGCTTCTTCCTCTTAATCCTAACAGCACCTTAGAGGTGGGAAGAAGTTCCTTTCTTCTGATAAGAGAGAAATAAATTCTCTTTCTGTGAAAGATTCAGGTGTCCTGTGGCTGCTGTCTCGCTGCAAGTCCTTTCTTTAAAAAAGTATCCTACATAGCATAGTTTCTATTTTAACATTTTTTGTAACCTAAAACTATATTTAACACACTACTTAAGAAAGCTAATACAGCATAACTTTCTAACACCACACATATAATATTCATTTTAATATTTGCTAAAAGCCAGTCATAAAATACACATTTTTCACAGTAATATCTGGGAAATACAGGAATATCTGTAGTTGATGATGTCACCAAATAGTAAAACTAACTAAAATCAGCCCCAAATATTGAGCTGCTCTTTGTTTTTCCATGAACTCCAAGCCTGATTCTCCGTTTCCCTGCAGATCTTGGGAAATGTTTCTGAGTTCCAGCGAGTTGTCAACGTGCTGCAGGAGGGGGTGGACTTCGATATTGATGTCAACGCATCTGTCTTTGAAACAAACATTCGAGGTGAGCTGCGGTTTTCTGGGGGTCTGTGTTGGGTTTCCTCCCTGTATGAGTCTCAGAGGAGGTGGTCAGAGGGTATTTGGGATGCAGAGTAAAAGGACCCATAAACAGAGAGAAAAACCCCAAACAAACGTCACTTCCTTTCAGTTTTTGCACATCCCTTTTTGCTTCCTGTCTCAACACAAGCAGAAGTAGATGTGGCACTTTCAGTATTCTGGTGTGAGGTTTTCAGCTTTGGAATAAATATATTTTTCACTGCAGGAATACAGATTTTATCCTGTTGTTTTTGTATACTGTTTTAAAGTATAGATTATCAATTTCTGGGATTTTTTTTTTCCTTCAAAATCACAAAGGCTTTTAGAGTTGTGCACCTTGAATGCCTGACTGCTTCAGTGCCATCTAGCTAAATAACACAGTGTTTTTTAAAACTGTTAGTTATGCTTTTGTTGTTTGTCCTGCCAAATATTGCTGTGCCAATTTTTGCAGCAGTGTAATTTCTGCTAAAAATTGGTTGCTATGTGACCATAGACAAGCCTGTGAAATAACTAATATTAGCTAATATAGCTGTGTTAGCTAGATAAGTAATAGCTAAATATAGCTAATGACTCACAGTGCTGTAACATTGAAATTCTTGACTCTTCCTAGAAAAAATAAATGTATCATAGAATCTGAGTGTGGTTTGGGTGGAAAGGACCTTAAAGATCATCTATTCCACCCTCCTGGGGCAGGGACACTTTCTACTGCCCCAGGGTGCTCCTAGCCCTGTCCAGCCTGGCCTTGGGCACTGCCAGGGATCCAGGGGCAGCCCCAGCTGCTCTGGGCACCCTGTGCCAGGGCTTCAGCATCTTCACAGACAGAATTTATTCCCAATATCCCACCTAACCCTTCCCTCTGGCAGTTTAAAGCCATCACCCCTTATCCTGTCACGCCACATGTTTCTGCTGCCCAGGAAGAAACAAATCACTCTTCTCTTCCCTAAACTCCTTGCTCCCCACATGGTGTAATGGATTCTGCTGTGTCCTTGCAGTGGTGGGAGGGCTCCTCTCTGCTCACCTGCTCTCCAGGAAGGCTGGAGTTGAAGTGGAAGCAGGCTGGCCGTGCTCAGGACCCCTCCTGAGGATGGCTGAGGAAGCAGCTCGCAAACTGCTGCCAGGTGAGCCCCTGTCTGCTGTGTGTCACTGTGCTGGGGATCAGGAGCTGCCTGTGGTGGGAGATGCACTGCTGGATGAGCCAGCTCAAAAACCAGTCCTGTGGTCCCTGAGCTCCAAGCTCAGTGCTCCAGGTTAATTTGTGAGGATGATGTTGTACGTGTGCATGCCAAGTGCTGTGTGTGCTTAACACATCAGTGTGCTTGTTGCTTGCTGAGGGGGAAATATATTTAATATAAATAATGAATAAAGGTGTGAGACAGCAGCCTGTAAAGACAAGAAGATGCTGCTTCATGTGCTCTTTGTGGGCTGTGTGCCCTCGTGGCATGGCACTGTTCCCTTGTGTGCACCCATGGGCTGATCACAGCCTCACTGGCTGCACTTTGCTGGCCAGTGTGATCAGTGCCCACCTTGCTTGTGCTGTAAAAAATGTGGGGGTGCAATCTGCTGCTCTGGCAAGGTGGAAGTGATCCCCAGGACCTTCCCAGGACTGTGTGTACTGTGGTGCTGTGAGGTCCCCAGGACGAGGTGAGAAATGAGAATTTGACTCTATGTTATCAGAAGGCTGATATATCATATCGTATCATATCATATCTATTTTCTTATATTATTTTCTTATATTATTTTCTTATATTATTTTCTTATATTATTTTCTTATATTATTTTCTACTTTCTTATATTTTCTTATAATTTATTTTCTTATATTTTCTTACGTATATTTTTTTCTTTTCTATATTTTCTTACGCATATTTTTTTCTTTTCTATATTTTCTTACGCATATTTTTATATTTTCTATATTTTCTTATGCATATTTTTCTATGCTCTATATTTTATTATATTTTATATTTTTATATATTTTATATATTGTATACTAAAACTATATTAGAGAAAGGATACATCAGAAGGCTAAACAAGAATGATAATGAAAGCTCGTGACTGACTCCTCAGAGTCTGATACAGCTGATGGTGATTGGTCATTAATTAAAAACAATTCACATGGAACCAATCAAAGATGCACCTGTTGGGTAAATGATCTCCAGACCACATTCCCAAACAATCAGATAATTATTGTTTTCATTCTTTTCTGAGGCTTCTCAGCTTCCCCGGAGAAGAAATCCTGGTGAAGGGATTTTTCAGGAAATATCATGCTGACAGTGTGTACCCTCTCTGACCCTCCCAGGATCACACTCAAGTTCTCATTTTGTTCTCTGCAGTTACGCCAGCCAGTTACTCCAGTGGGATGTGAGGCACATGTTTGATTCAGAGTCTGTAAAACACAACACTGAGCATTTCTGTGACCCCAAAATCCTGTGTTTCAGCTTTCCAGACCCCAACTGGGATGCCCTATGGCACAGTGAACCTGCTGCATGGAGTAAACCCTGGAGAGACCCCAGTCACCTGCACTGCTGGAATTGGCACCTTTATAGTGGAGTTTGCCACCTTGAGCCACCTCACTGGTGACCCAGTGTTTGAGGACGTTGCCAGGAAGGCTTTGAAGGCACTGTGGAAAAATCGCTCGGATATTGGGCTGGTGAGTGAGCAAAGGACTGGGGATGTGCTGGGCTGCTTTTCCTCTGGCTTTGTGGATGCAATTCCAGGCATGAAAAAGCACCAACAGAGAGGAGATGGAGTCGGATAAATACCCACAGTGCTCCTAACTGGGCTGAAGGCTCGTGTTTGCCATTGTTGCTGAACACCTGCAGCATCCACATCCCTGCTTCACTGCAGCAGCCCAGCATTATCCATTGTTCTGGGCCACACCAGATGTGGCTGGGACACAAATGCCAACTGCTGGGAGCTGCAGCTCTTGTGACAGCAGCTGGAGCAGATTAAATGAAGGGTCTGTCTGATGCCTGGAGGGACAAAGGCCTAGGGAAGAGAACAAGAGTAAAGTGCACTGAGATATTAACAGCCTGTACAGCTCTGGGGTTCAGGAACACCCAGAGCTGGGAGTGTTATCTCCGTGTTCACTGTCTCCTGGTCTTTTCTGTTGCTACTTTTTCAACCTCTGAAGTGTTGATGTTGCACCAACATAGTAAATAAATCTGAAACAGATTTATTTATACCCTGTGTTTATTGCCATGAAGAAATGTTTCCCTTTGTTTGCTTTGGGATTTGTTTATTTTTGATTTATACCCCAAATCCTTGATCATTGCTGGCTTTTTTCACATTTGCTAAGAAAGACATGATTGTGTATTTAATCCTCCATCAGCTGGGTTTGTTCACAGGCTGAAGAGTGCCAGCATATACTTAAATATTAACATGGCAGCTCTTGTGCCTTTGACATTCTTGGCCTCCGTATCTGCACCTCTCCATCCTTCTCTACTCATTTGTAAGATCAGAATTATGACCAAACATTTCATGTTGAAATTGTGCATTTTTACAGTAGCATTATAATGTGTTGTTTTAGCCAGTGAAGCATTGATATTGGAAGCATAAAATGTTTATTAGATATATAAAATATATTATCAGCATGAAAATTGTATTTTCTACAGTTTGCATATAAGCATAACAGTTATATTGTCCTGTAATGGAGAAAATGCTGGTTGGAATGGACATTGTATATCTGTGAAACTGATGATCTGAAAACAGTACCAGGATTTCTTGTGTCACTTTAAGCCTCTCTGTCCTTGTCCTTCACCCCTTCCAGGTGGGGAACCACATTGATGTGATCACTGCCAAGTGGGTGGCCCAGGATGCTGGCATTGGGGCAGGGGTGGACTCCTACTTTGAGTACCTGGTTAAAGGAGCCATCCTCCTGCAGGACAAGGAGCTGATGTCCATGTTTTTAGGTGAGTCCTTGTTTTCTGTGGGAAGGAGGAGGTGAAGGATCTATTTGGGCACGTTCAAGCCTGTTCTGAAAGCTTTGCTGTAATTCTTTTGAACAGTCTGTGATAACGGAGTTACCAAAGTGAGCACCCTGATCAGTCATTGAACATGGCTCAAGTGAAAAAGGGGCTTCTCTCATTCTTAAAAATAAGCTTTTCTTTTTTTTCTTTTTTTTTTTTTCCTTTTTGTTACAGATGGCTTACCTACCCATCTGTTTCTTTACAGAATATAACAAAGCTATCAAGAATTACACCAAGTTTGATGACTGGTACCTGTGGGTTCAGATGTACAAAGGAACAGTGTCCATGCCTGTGTTCCAGTCCCTGGAGGCCTATTGGCCAGGCCTGCAGGTAAGAGCTGTCATACCAGCAGCATCTGCTGATTCTCTTCATCTGTCAGGGGCTGGTCTTCAAGAAAAAAGTTACAAATATCATTTCATCTGTACAGGTTTAAAAGTTTGGTTTATTCTCTAGTGAAATCTGCAGTAGCCTGAGCCTGTAGAAGGTGATGTTGAAGAAAATGTTGATTTTTTTCTATAGTCTCCCATTCAGCATGATGAGAGGGCACTTCTGTGGCAGCAAACTCCACTGACAGTGGTCCCATAATCCAAATGGGAATGTGAGGAAAAAAAACCACACACCTCTTTTTCTATCACCTCATAATTGTTTCATTTGTGTGAATATTTTCCCATCAAGAGCTTTGCTTTCTCATCAGTCTTCTTGTTGGGACTGAGACTTTGTTTCCCTAACTAAGAGATTGGATGCTGTGATTGACTGAAGAAACACAGCCTTCGTTAAAAAAACATCAGAGTCTTCGTATGATTTCAGGTGTGGGAATGTGATCCACCAGAAAAGCAGCTTTTAATTCTTAGCTGTTCTTAAGGCATCATGCCCAGTATCAGTTACCCACTCAGACCTGCTGAAATACCCATTTCTGTCACTGGGTATTTCCTTGCCTAGAGCAATGCTATTGCATCAATTCCTGTAGCCATGATATTTTCTGAAAAATCCCTTTGCCAGGATTTTTCTCCTGACAAGCTGAGAAGCCTCAGAGGAAAAGAAAAACAATAATTATCTGCTGCTGTGGAATGCAACAGGTGCATCTTTGATTGGTCCATGTTGTTTCTAACTCATGGCCAATCAGAGCCAGCTGGCTCAGACTCTCTGAGAGTCATCAGCTTTTGTTATCATTCCATTCCTTTCCTTGCTAGCCTTCTGATGAAATCCCTTCTTCTATTCTTTTAGTATAGTTTTAATATATCATTTTCTTTTAATATAATATTTATCATAAAATAATAAATCAGCCTTCTGAAACATGGAGTCAGATTCTCATCTCTTCCCTCATCCTGGGACCCCTGTGAACACCACCACATTTGGTGACCCCGAGTGAAGAAAAATTCCACAAATTCCTGTGCTGGTTTTTCACTGCCATGTTTGTGTGCTGTTTCCTGTCTCCAGAGCCTGATTGGGGATGTGGACAATGCCATGCGCACCTTCCTCAACTATTACACGGTCTGGAAGCAGTTTGGGGGCCTGCCTGAGTTCTACAACATTCCCCAAGGATACACAGTGGACAAGAGGGAAGGATATCCACTCAGGCCTGGTAAAAAAGCTGAAATTAAAAGGGATATGAGCTCCTGCTTTAGCTCTGGTTGGGAGATCAAATGTTAGCAGCACCACAGTTTCCTCCCAGTTTTGTTCTGACTCAGTTCCTGCCAGGATTTCAGCTGGGATTTCCAGAGTTAAAGCTGCAGATTTTGTTTTCCCCCATTCACAAAGACAGGAAGGAAACAGGAAGCAAACCATAGTGTTACTGTTGAAAGGCGGCCTGGTAATTAATTTTTTTCACAGTGTGGGATTTGACATGTTTAAGTGTTACATTGTCTGGCATGGGTGCTTCAGTCATGTGAAATGTTAAAGGGACTGCTTGTGTCCTTTAAATTTGGGAAGTGAAAGTGAGTGTGAATAGACTGTTCCAGTTCTGCATCTAGGAGGGATTCTGTGTTGTCTGTGATACTGTAAGGAAATTATCTCTCTTTTTTCTCATTTTTTACAATTCTGACCAAAACAAAAAAAAATTAACCTGATTAGTGGGTCCATAAATGTAAATGAGAATAAAGAACTTCCTTTTGGTCTGAGTGTTCGGGTGGACAAATCTACCAAAAATACTCATGAGCCCTAACTATCAAAGGCATTTATATATAAAAGACCTGTTCCTTTAATAAGTAAACACAGATGGTGCTTATGTTGTCTGTATAGAGTATTTCCACTCTATTGTTTAAAAACTCTATTTTGAGGATTGAATTTCTTGTTTGGAATCCTTTCCAGAAGCATTTTTTGTTAACTTTGACAACTGAGTATTAATCTTTTTGTCTCCTGCTTCTCTCCCACTTGCTGAATGTGGGAGGGAGCATTAGTCACTCTTACCTGAGCTAGTTAGGGGGAATTTCTTTGTAGCACATCCTTAGAAAAAGGAAATCTGTGTTTGAAACCAGGCTGTTCACCTGATTATGCTGAAGTATTTTTAAATTAGTTCAAGGAATAGCTCATGTTCTCTGTGTGTGGTGTGATAATCTTTGTGCTGGCAATGTTTGGGTGTTTTGCAGAGCTGATTGAGAGCGCAATGTATCTGTACCGTGCCACGAGAGACCCCACACTGCTGGAGCTGGGGAGAGATGCTGTGGAGTCCATAGAGAAGATCAGCAAGGTGGACTGTGGCTTTGCAACTGTGAGTGCTAAATCATCTGCCATGGCAGCTGAAGGGCTGCTAAAAATCAGCTTTCAGAAGGTGTTCTCATGAGAGATGTTTTGTCATTGATTCATGCAATCATTTTGGGCAAAACATGACTTTTTTTTTTTCCACAAACCCCTTATATTTCTCTGTGAAGCTGCTCTGGTAATTACTGGTCATGTTTCTGGCTGTAGCTTCCTCACATTGGGCCAAATTCTATCATGGGCTGTTGCCCCAGAGCCCAAAACATGGGAAAGCACCAGAAGCTTCTCCTGCATTTCTAGTAGGTGTTGCAGCTGAGCAGGAGTACTCTCATGCAGGCTGCTCCTGCCAGGTGTGTGATTTGGCTTTCCCATTATTTCTTGAAAAGCTGGTCAAACACATGAGAAGTACAGTGAATGATTTTTATGAAGTTATTTAATAGAGGATTTCAAACATGCTATCAAGCTCTATTTTACAAAAAGCTCCTTAAAAATACTGGGAGTAAGTAGGTAAAAGCCTTATGATTTTTTTTTTGTTTAGTGGGGAAATTATGGGAATCTCTTCTCCTTGCCCAGACTGAACTGAGGAGGAGTTTAAATGTTAGGAAGGGATTTTTCAGTGTGGGGGTGCTGAGGCCCTGGCACAGGGTGCCCAGAGCAGCTGTGGCTGCCCCTGGATCCCTGGAAGTGCCCAAGGCCAGGCTGGACAGGGCTGGGAGCAGCCTGGGATAGTGGAAGGTGTCCCTGCCATGGCAGGGGATGGAATGAGATGATTTTTAAGGTCTCTTCCAACCCAACCCATTCTCTAATAAGATACAGGGTGAGTTGGTGTCATACTGTGCTGTTTAACGGAAATGAATTCCAAGTTGGTTTTATTTTTCTCCCTAAATTCATAACTTACTGAATTCAGTGTAACTCTAACCCACTCTGTTCTCTTGTAGATCAAAGACTTGAGGGACCACAGGCTGGATAACCGCATGGAATCCTTCTTCTTGGCTGAAACAATCAAATACCTGTACCTGCTCTTTGACCCTGACAACTTCATCCACAATGATGGCTCAGACTTTGATGTGGTGGTCACGCCCTATGGGGAGTGTGTCCTGAATGCTGGAGGGTACATCTTCAACACTGAGGCTCATCCCATCGACCCTGCTGCCCTGCACTGCTGCAGGAAGCGCAGAGAGGAGCAGTGGGAGGTGGAGGACTTGATGAGGGAATTCTACTCACGGAAGAAAACCAAGAAATTCACTTTCAAAAGAGCTCCTGACCATGGTGAAGGGGAAAATGCTAAAGACTCCCAAGATGCCTCTTCAGAGAAAGCTGGAGAGAAGAGAAACTCTAAGAAAAGCTCATACTCCCTCCTGAGCTGCCCCAGTCAATCCTTTAACTCCAAGCTTGCAGTTCTGGGACAGGTTTTCCTAGATAACACCTGATCCTCTTTGCATCATCACTTTAAATTATTGAACTCGTTTCAGATTCTGGGAATATATTTTTATAGTTTCATAATGGAAAGTGTGGTACCTCACAATGTGAATTCTATTATGAAGTGAAACAACTTCCCTTTAAATTCTGCTACTGCTCCTTTCTAAGCCATGACTAAGATACCAGCTGTTAATGCTGTTGAGCTGCTGATCTCAAAGCAGTTGGTTGCCTGAATATCAAACAGGTGTCCAGAAAAAGAAAGGTCTACATGTTAAATGTACCTTTTTATTGCATTTTGTGAGTTTTAGAGGCTTACAGAAAGATAGTAGCTTATTTTGTTCTATAAAAATGAGCCTGAGTTTCTTGTCATAAGGGGAAGAGGAAGAATTGCTGTAGCTTCACTGCAATTCTCTGTGTGCTCCATCTTTTATCTCTGGCCACTTTATAAACATGTAGTTCATGTTGAAAAATTGCTGCCCAGTGGAGAAAAGCTATTTATTTAGAGTTGAAGGCTCAGATTTGTTGCTCTGGCAGTTCTGTTGGGCATCAAGGATGGTGTTGGGGGATAGGAGCACTTGGAACATGGGAAGGTTCTCAGTCCCTCTGTTTCAGATCAGTGTGGGTCAGCACCTCCTGCCTGAAAACCACTTTAGTGAATGTCCAGGTAATGTCTGGACAAAAAACTGAGCTGGAGGGTGGACTAGGAAATGTTTGGTTGGTTCCACAGTGTAGCTAGCTTATCTCTTATTTCCCCATTTCCTTCCTCTTTCTAACTTCCCTTTGGTCCCCCCCTTTGGTATTTCACTGTACCTCAGTGCAGCCACCCCAGGGTGCCCCAGCTGAGCTGAACACGAGCCATGCACAAGGCTTGGGTGCAAGGGGACTGAGCCCCAGCTGAAACTGCAGCTGTGCTTTGGTCCTGCAGGCGGCTGAACAGATGTTCATGAACCTCTCAGTGTTCAACTGACTTGCACATCCAAACCTCTAAATACATTATTAGTGTCTTTGCAACAGCTGTGTGCAGTGACCAGGAAAGGAGGAATCAGTGTGGCCAAGGAAGAACCAAAAGCAGGCCAAAAAAGTGTTGGAGTTTCTTCAGGCCTGCTGCAAAGTGAGGAGGCTGGAGCAAGCTACAATTATTTGAGTGGACTAGAGGTACAGGAGAAATAAATCCCTGTGAGCAGGGAAATACTTAAAAACAGCTGGACCAGTGCCCACTCGGTGCTGCTGTGTGGTTGCCTTGAGAAAGTAATTTTTGTTGTTGTTTTGACCTGTACAAATGCTGTAAAGTTAAATAAAATTTGCATTTTACCCTTTGGGGTAGAAATCCTGTAGCAGTTGTGAATGAGCTATGGTAAGAGACACTTACAGTGCTGGACAGGCATATTGAAAGGACTGGTAAGCTACAGAGCTTTGGTTGTGTCCTTTCCCTGGCAGCTGGGACAGTGCAGGAATTCTGCATTGACACAGCCCTTGCAGCCCTTCTGAGACAGGAAAACCCAAAACCAGGCATTGTTGGAACACGATGAAGCTCTTGTTGTGGCTGCTTGTTGTCACCATAGGTTATCTTTTCATTTTCCAGCTGTTCACACCTACATGCTCTTCATTGTTTTAATCTGCAGAAAACAAACCCCAGGCCTTCTCCCACAGCTTTGCTCAGTGCTGGGTCAGGTCCTGAATCTCAGCATTGTCCCAGGTGTGAAGTGGAGGAAAACAATGGGACAGGGCAGATCTCCAACTCATTAGATCTCTCCTGCCCAGGGCATTTTGGTACCCTCATGCAGGAACTTCCAGCTGCAGAACCAAGGAGCTGTATGCTGGGGAGATGAGGTTGTTCCTCAGCATGGTTGGAGCTGAGAGAACTCATCTGTGCATGGCTACTGTGGGTAATTAGGTGGATCTTGATTAGATTCCCAGATTCATCTGAGTAGGAAAGCACCCAGACAGATGATGGAGTCCAAGTCAATGGCCCAGACAGGAACTGAAACTTTGGTATTATGACCAACTGAGCTAATCTCGGATTAGTGCTGTGGCCTGGGTGACTCAGAACAGCCTCAACTGTTCCTTGTTCCAGTGTTGTTCCATCTCACAAAGCCTTCATTTTAACAAAAACAAACTGATCAGAGTCCTTGGTGATCTTTTCCTCAAACAGAAAAGGGTGTGGCTGGGCCTCGAGGGAAATAAAGGCATTGGGATGGAAATGGAGTGGGAGGCAGAGCTGGGGGTGTCAGAGGTAAAAATCGATAAAGCTAATTTAATAATGTATAAAAATAATTGTAAAAATTAATAAAAAAGATATTTTATTTTGTGATCGAAAATATGATCCTTGATAGCCACAGTCAGAGACAGCATCAAGCTTGGGTGAACCTTGGACCTCCCTCTGTTCACAAATGCCATCTCCAGGGCTGATTTACACAGTTTTTTCTGCCTGAGGCAGAGGTGCCCCTATTCTTTTGTCACTCTGCATATGCATGAAAGTCTTTTCTCTGTGCAGGGCTGGACAATGCTGTTTCTGGGAGTGTTGATGTCGAGTTAGGGGAATCCGGTATTCAGATGTATGTTCCTGACGACTCTGGTTATCTTGATTGAAGATACTTATTGTGAAAAACAACAATCACTTGTTTTTAAAATTTTGAAAATTCAATAGTAATAAAATGGTTATAAAAATAGTATTACATTAGAGTAATAATAATTTGGACACTTTGAATTAGGACAATAGGAGACAATAGAAACAAAGAGTATGGACAGTCCGGGCACCTTTTTCTGGGCAGCAGAGCTCAAAAAAGGACCCCCGTTAACAGAGGATTAACCCTTGAAAGCAACATCCTGTTGCATATTCATACACCTCATACATGATGCATAAATTCCATTCAAACACAGGATTCTGTCTGGGCAGTGTCAGCTTCTTCCTCTGGATCCTGACAGCGCCTTCGATGCGGAAAGAAGTTGGTTTCTTCTGATAATGGAGCAATAAATTCTTTTTCTCTGAAAGATTCAGGTGTCCTGTGGCTGCTATCTTGCTGCAAGTCCTTTCTTTAAAAAAAGTATCCTACATAGCATAGTTTATATTTTAACATTTTTTATAACCAAAAACTATATTTAACACACTACTTAAGAGAATTAATACAGCATTACTTTCTAACACAACACATATAATATTCATTTTAATATTTGCGAAAAGCCAGTCATAAAACACGCATTTTTCACAGTAATATCTGTAGTTAATGATGTCACCAAATAGTAAAACCAACTAAAATCAGCCCCAAATATTGAGCTGCTCTTTGTTTTTCCTTGAACTCCAAGCCTGATTCTCCGTTTCCCTGCAGATCTTGGGAAATGTTTCTGAGTTCCAGCGAGTTGTCAACGTGCTGCAGGAGGGGGTGGACTTCGATATTGATGTCAACGCATCTGTCTTTGAAACAAACATTCGAGGTGAGCTGGGGTTTTCTGGGGGTCTGTGTTGGATAAAATACGCATTTTTCACACTTACCAGGTGTTCATCGCTGTTGGGTGTTCCCTGGATAGCCCCGGGAAAGGCCCATCTCCGCACCGTCCTTTCGCTTGCTAATGAGGCTTTCTTTCCTCGCTGCCATCTGGAATTTCACAATTTTGATGTGTCAATCTGTCTCCTGAATGTCAGTGGTCTTAGGCTTTTGGATTTTTGTTACATTCACAATTTTATTAACAACTTTATTTCACATTATTTCCTATAAACACGAATTATCCCACACCACACACCACACGGGGAAGCAGCAGCGCGGCCAGGCCGCAGCTCCCATCGCTCCCTCCCACACGGCGGGCGCCCCTTCCGGCCGCCATGTTGGCGCGTCCCGCGGCTGCGCGCTCGGCGGAGCGGCCCAAGGGGAGGGCTCGCTGTTTGTGTCCCCAGCGCGGAGGCCATGGCGGCCGTGGCGGGGGCCGGCACGGGGCCCGGCTCCGGTACCGGCACCGGCGGCACCCGCGCCCCCACCACCAACATCTTAGCACAGCTGCGGCACGGGCAGCTGAGCGGCCGCGGGCTGACCCGCGGGGCGCAGGTAACGTGGGAGCTGGGCCGGCCGGGCGGAGCGGGGAGGCCGCGGGGCCTGCGGGGTTTGTGGGGTTTGGGGCCGGGGGTTCAGCGCCTCCTGCGCTGCCAGGGAGAGCCCGGCTTGCCCAGCGAGGCCTGCTCGGGTAAAACGGCGGCTCCCAGGCCGGGCTCGGCGCTCCGGAGCTCCCCGGGTTTTGCCCCGGTGCCTTCGGGCTCCGAGCGCCGCCTCACCGGGCTCTGCCCTCTCGGGCAGGCCCGAGGAGCAGCGCAGGATTTTGCCTCTTCGCTCGGTGTGGCCTTCCCTGCAAAGAAAGGAAGCTGTGCCTGGGACTGTAACAATGCAGCATCGAAATTTAAACGTATTTCCTGCACAAAGGCAGCCTCGTGGTTTTAGGGCTTAGGAGACATTTTAGCTCTCTAACGCAGGTGGTTTTATGAGAAACTGCCTCAAGTCTGTTTCTTATTTGTCATCTTTCCCAGTTGATGATGCTGGGAAATACCAAGGAGTGAAATCAGTTCCTTACCCCGGGCCTGTGCCTGTCGTGTGCTGATACTTTTTTAGGAAAAACTGCTCAAGGATAGTGGACTGTTAATTTCTTTTTATGGAGAATAATTGGCATTTTTCTTGCACGTTAAATGCAAAATGGTGCAAAGACTTGGAAAATGAAGCGTGAGGTACAGAACTTGCGTTCAGGTTATGATTTATTGAGCTGAAGTATCTTAAGAGAGGTGAGATGGAATAAAAAATGGCATTTCTTTAATTTACTAGTGCAGACAACAGCATTTTTCTTGATAAACAAGGATTCTGAGCAATTATTAAGAGAAGATTTTTTTATGCCTTTTCAGGACTACCTAAAAACAGAGACCAGACAAAATTAGGGAATAAAGAGCAGTTATATTTATTGAAGGGCCTTCAGGTACATACAGGGCAGACAAAGCCCCCCAATTCCACCCAAAAATGGATCACAGGTCACGGGTTTTACACTTTGATAAGTTTGGTCCATTTGCATATTGGGGGTTAATCTTCCAATTCCAGCTCCAGGTAATGAAGTCATTTACCCCAGGTTTGCTCCCCCAACTCACTTTTGTTTCCATCTCTGGGCCCTGAGGCAGTGAGGTGTCCTTGATTGCCAGGCCTGCAGAGGAATTGTTGTGTCTGCCCAAACTGGGAAAGCAGCAGCTCACACTGAGTGTGGGGTTTGGAGTTATACACTAAAGAATAGCAGTTACAAATATATGGAAAATAGAAAAGCTCAAATCTTAAAGGCACCATATTCATCATGAATGTCCATGCCTCATTCTCTAGCAGAGAGGTAAAAGAGCAGGTATCTTTTTACAGCTATTTTGTCCTTTTTTTGCTTCTTCCTCAGCTACTAGTTTGGATAATCCTTAAGAAGAGCCAGTAATTTGCATCAGTATAAACCTGTATTGACTCTTCTCCTTGGGATTGATTTAGGATTGGACAAACTTTGTCTCACTGAATTCCCTGCCCACCTCTGCACTCTTTCTTTCATGCACCTCCTCAGCCACTACAGTTTCAGTCAGGTGAACCTGGACCAACCTTATGCACCTCTGTTGTCTGTAGGATGGTGCTTCCATCTCTGGGCTTTGGTTTGCTTGAAAAATGCAGTGATACTCTTTTCATTTTGAGCTTTTAAGCTTTTATAGCAATCAAGGAAACCTCTACTTGTTGCATCCTCCTTATAATGCCCAGAATTTACGTGGGTTTTTGTTCCTGGGGTTTGGTTTGGTTTTGCTTGAAAAATTCTAGCATCCTTGTGCTGCCCTGAGAGTTAAAGCTTGGACCCATACAGCTTCCACAATTTCATAAATGCTATAGGGGGATATTTTAAATCATTTTGTGTGAGAGCATGGAGTGACAGGACAAGGGGGAATGGTTTCAAATTGACAGAGGGCAGGGTTGGATGGGATATCGGGAAGGAATTCTGCCTTGTGAGGGTGGGCAGGCCCTGGCACAGGTGCCCAGAGCAGCTGTGGCTGCCCCTGGATCCCTGGCAGTGCCCAAGGCCAGATTGGACAGGGCTTGGAACAATCTGGGACAGTGGAAGGTGTCCCTGCCATGGCAGGAGATGGCACTGGATGAGCTTTAAGGTCCTTCCCAATCCAAACCATTCTGTGATTCACTTAAACTCAAGCAGGGGAAATAAATCCCTGAATGATTTTGAACTTTATGAATTCTGTGTCTCTTTACTTTTACCTTGTATCAGTTTTTTGTTTGTAGACAATCTAAATATAAAACACTTTGATGTAACTTTTAGAGAAGCAGTTTTGGCTGCTTTCTTTTTTTTTAAGTTCTATTTTTTATCACAACATTCCCAGTTTTCCTGCAGTTGGCTCCTCAGTGGCAGTGTGGGAACCCTTGCTTACATTTCTGAGCTGATTTGTTCCTGCAGAGCCTGAGAGCAGGTCAGGTTGCTGTTTTGGGGTGTAGAGCAAGTCATGAGTGTCCTTGAAGCACTTCCTAGCTGTGTTTTGGAAGGAAGTTTTGTGTCATGTGCTGCCTGCACTGCACTGCTGGGAGGGGAAACCCTTCTCAAGATGTGAGTTCAGGGAGGTTTTGAGCACAGTTCTGTGCTGGGGTGCCTGCCATGGGCAGCAGTGGCATTTAGCCCTGAACAAAGCTTTGTGTGCTATTCTTAGGTGATCTCAAGATCCATTTTTGTATGGGGAAAGCAGGGGCTTAGCTATGAGCTGGGAAGGATCACTGCATCTAAAAGTTCACACTCTGATCTTACAGGGACATAAAAGCATTTTTGACAGCAGCAGCCCCCTGAATATGTGGCAGTTTTGAGGTCAGCTGAGTCTCTGAAATCTGGATCCCTGAGTGCTCCTGCTGTGCTCACCTACCCAGAACCCTTGGCTTCCTTGCCAATTCATGTCTTGCTTTATTATTAACAATAAATTACTCAGAGAAGGGCAGCAGAGCTGGAGAATCATATGGGGAGTGGCTGAGGGAGCTGGGAACGGGCTCAACCTGGAGAAAAGGAGGCTCAGAGGGAAATTCTGGCTCTGCACAACTCCTGACAGGAGGGGACAGCCAGGTGAGGGTTGGGGACAGAGACAGGACGAGAGGAAACAGCCTCAGGATGAGCCAGGGGAGGTTCAGCTTGGACAAGAGGAGGAATTTCTTAATGGAAAGGATGGATCAGGCAGGTTGGACAGCAAGAGGAGTTATGGAAAGGATGGACCAGGGAGGTTGGACAGCAGGAGAAGTTTCCCCATAGAAAGGATGGACCAGGCAGGTTGGACAGCAGGAGAAGTTTCCCCATAGAAAGGATGGACCAGGCATTGTCAGGGGCTGCCCAGGGTGATGGTGGAGTCCCCATCCCTGGAGAGTCCAAGGAACAATGGGGCTGGGTGATAGGGTGGGGATAAATCACAGGTTGGACTCTTGGTCCTGGAGGTCTTTTCCAATTTAAATGGTTCTGTGATAAGAAGTTGATTAGCTGGAGCAGATTTCAGTAGGTGCTGCCATTATTTGTTCTGTATCCATTTTACCCATATTGCTGGCATCAGCTGCTGCCCTGCACACAAGCCTCAGTCTTGGTATCACATTGCATAACCTTGGATCAGGATTTGCCCTGCCCTGAGCACAGTGCAAGGCGCTTTGCAGGTGCTGGTGAAGCAGTGGCAGAAGAATTTTCCAGAAGTGACACACTTCTAACAAGGAAGAATATTGGTTGTGAGGGGTTTGGTGTGTTGTCCTCCTTGGGGCACAGCTGTGCCATGGACCACAGGCTCTGGGACATTTGTGCTGCTGTTCCTTGAAAGCCAAGAACACTCTGGCTCAGCTGATCCAGCTCAAATCTGCTTAGCAAGAAGGTGCAGACTTCATCTGCTACAAGCTGTGAACAGCATGGATGTGGCATGAAACCAGAGGGTATTTGGTTGCAGCTCTGGGAATCCCTGTGGACAGAGCAGTGTGATAATGGACTGACCAAGGATTTGTTGGCAAACCAATGTGCTCCTGCTGCATTCTCAAGAGCTGGGAGTCAGCACTGCTCTCACCCTCATAGGATTGCCAGGGCTTAGCTGAAACAATCAGAATGAAAAAAAGGATCCATTTTTCCAGCTGTATTTCATGCTTTGCTATCCCTAGGAGCAGACACTTCCCCGAGCAGGATAGTCCCTATCCACTGTAAAAAAGCTCTGTGGAAGGAAAACATTTCTCCCTCAGACATCCAGATTTCAGGTTATCAGCAGGAGTAGCTTCCTAACCCTGAGAAAAGATTTTGGTTTTGAGTCAGTTTTTTGTCTCCTCCTTACAAGAGCACCAACAGAACAACATTCAGGTGAATATAATCCAGTTGAGGAGCTCTGATTGTGTGGGTGTTAGCAGGCTTAGGCTCTTCAGGGGAGGACAGTGAGGGAGTGTTGGAAAGCCTGGACATGCTTTTGTTATGTAACAACACCAGAGCTCTGTCATGCACTAGAAATGCTGCAAAAAGTGGCTGTGTTGGATTTAAGCTGTGTTGGTGTCTGATTTTTTTGTGTGGCTGAAGATGAGTGAGAAGAAAAATGTAGATGTGATACTCTTTATCCCTCTGCTTTTTCTTAGATAGCCCTACAGATTTTGTTTTCTTTCAAAATGAAATAAAGAAGAAACTTAGGAAGTTCTAAGGAAAAAGGAAAAGTAGTAACTAAGAAGTTAATCTAAGGAAAGATTAAGACTAAGTTTTTCTAAGGAAAAGTAGTAACTGAGAAGTTAATATAATTTTAGTATAATTATGCATATTAATTGATTTATTTTTCTCTGAGAGTAAGATCAGCAAAGCAAATATGAGTAGCTCTCTTCCGATCTGGTGGATCCTGTAGTGGGTTTGGAGAGCTGCTGGTATTAAAGGTCTGTGTTGGAATTGTCCTGTGGGGATTGGAGATTCAGGAGAGCTGTTCTTGTCTTCTCCCAGTTCTGGTGAGCAGGGCTGTGGTCTGGGAGCTGTGGGAATGGTTAGGCCTGGCTGGAAGCTCTGGCATGGCTTATCCCAG